AATGCTCATATCATAGGATACCTCAGAAATACAATGCTTTGTATGATAAATAAGTGTGATAGCCGTCCACGCTTTCTTTGGCTTATTTTTTATAGTCCTTTCTTAAATGATGGCTTTGCTATGACAATGTCTTTCTCATGACAGACAAATGATCAGCACAGATTTATTGAAGTCTCAGAAGGATGAGCCTATGATTTCTTTGCACAATCAAACTATCTTCATTCCAATACAATCCTACTTCAATTTGATATTTGGCCAATTCACAATTCCTTCGAACTACCTTCGAAAAGAAATGCTGAATAACATTAATTAGCTAACTATGTTAATCTGATTAAACCATTTTTACCATAGTGTTGAACAGATAAGTTATTTATCTATATTTTACTCATGAACTTTTTATCGCGTTATTTTCTCTTTTATTGGATGATAAGCATTCATTCTCTTAAATAAGAGTATTGACAGTCTCGACACTAGCTTACCATGAATATATATAATTATTACTATTTTAGCGACTACATTAATTACCCACTAAATTATCATATTATGCTACTTTGAGCATTTGATGATAAGAGCAAGAAGGATATTGCAATAAAGCTTCGAATGTAGTGGTTAGCACACAATGCTACTTTATTAAAGTTGTATTATCTCGTTTTTGCAACTTGGTCATATTTGGTAGGAAGACCTAGAGGAATGCATCTTGTCCGGAGTTCACAGTATGCATGCTAATTTCCAGTCGGACCATGGACTTGGTACATTCCCAGACGTTTCTTTGACGAGTTGTAGTGTGGTTTAAAGACTGGCAAGGCTCACTGATGATGGCGACGAAACGTCTTGGAATTTACCAAGTGTATGATCAGACTGCAAATTTTCATGCATACTATTGACTCCGGAAAAAGTGTGTTCCTCTGGATCTTCCTGCCGAAATACCATGTTGCTAAAACAAGGTCATATAACGTCTATACAACGAAAGGAGACCCCGATCATACTTAACGATACACTATCTTGGTTTTCATAGCTTTGATTAATGTTATTTTGTTTTGATGCTGTGGAAATTAATTAGAAAAAAAAATTCATTCATTTTTTCGCATTAATGCTTGATTAAAACATTATTTAATCTAAATTTTGACTTTAATATTATACCATAATCACTTTGGAGGGCTATTTTTCGGATATTAAATTTTATTGCATTTCTTTTGACCAAGATGTCTGGAAAGCGTTACTAAGTAATATTGAATTGAACCATGAAGTCTATTTATGTTGTTGTGGTAAACATTAAATGTCATCAACTTGTGCGACCTAGGGTGATTAGAAGTCCTTACTTCTTAATTTTCTTTATTCAGCTTTTCTATTTAATATATTCACTGACTTATTGATTTTAATCGGCTCGCTAATTTGATTTTTTTTAAACAACTTCATCTAAGCACAATATCAATCTCGAAACCACCTTATTTGTACCTACCGGTTATAATAACCTTATTGACTAGTTTTGTTGTAGAGAATTTCAATGCATGATTAAGAGATTCGTAGCTTGATCTCACAAAAAGACTGATTTCCACTGTACTGCTTCCGTTTGGTTTTAATAAGGCGTTCCTTTTGACGCAGTCCACGATACATCCTCCCTCGTTTTGGACGAAAATGGGCTGAAATATCTTTCCTTATCTGACTAATCTCACTAGAGCTTGGACTAATTCTTGCAAAAGTTTCAGGTTAATGCTTTGCCAAGAAAGCGATCTGGCTCTACCCTACATGCGCATATACTCAAATAAAAAATATTTAACTATACGTACACAAAGAATGGCTTGGTTCTTTGTTCTATATCTAAATATTTCCGTCTCTTTGTATATGTATAAACTTCTTCGCTTAATACTGGTTATAATTCAAAGTAATTAAAAAAAAGAGCCTAACCTGAGCCATCAAGTTAATTCTGACTGAATTAATCAGATGTAAGCCTGCACGAGTTTAAGTCAGGTTACAAAACCGCCAGTAATAACCCATAAGTCTGAGGTCATTGGGATCTAATGGCCCAAGGGCAAGCATGACTGGGATTGCGTGATCCTTTACGTCTGTTTTGTTTGATGTACTTAACAGTCCTGTTGAACGAGTGAGAATTCAATTAGAACTATCAGTGAGCTGACAAGTTGAGTCATCCTTTGGTCGGCGGCTCAACACCCTCTCACCTTTTTTTCTTTCAATCGACCGTGGGTTTTTATTAAGCTTATACCACCTTTCCTAATTCAGCTTATTCCATGATCTATTAATTGCTATAGCTTATCTCATTTTGTACTTCGTAGAAGACGCATCTTAATCGACAAGCCTCTGCGTCTGAGTCCATTCTTTCTCGTATCCAGTCTCCGTCGTGCTCAACCACTTCTGACTGTTTGATCCAGCTGCCTTTGCAAGCATTTTTGTGCCTCACTAATCTTTGGCAGATAGGCCGATAACTCACTAACATAAATTCGACAACAGAGTACACAGTCCTGAAACA